AAAGGACACAGAAAAGGGGGAACCCTTTAGCAGGATTTATTCTTTTCTGTGCACTTTGCATCTTCATCTTCTATGCATGGTTGATCGCTTAGCGAGATTTAATAAGCAGTTAGAAGTGTTTACCTGCTCAGAGCACATCTAGTGATGGCCTCTTTGAATGGCTGTGGGTCCGTCCTGATGATGATCGCCGCAGGCCAGGCAGACTGGTGGCTTGCCCGGCCTCGGCTTCTGTCACTCCAGGTGGCCACTGTTTATAGCTCAGCCACTGGAGGGTCACCAGGAATACATCCTTTCTGCAGACCAGCAGTGCGCAGCCTCCCTGAAGTGCCCAGGGCATTCTTCCTGTGTTTGCTTGTTCATGTGGAGCCTTCCAGCAATCGTACATGCTCTTGCCTCGTTGTCCCCTCTTGTCCCTCCTGCAGGCAGCAAAGGAATTGGCTTATGACGCCCAGTGGCCTTTGGAGAAGACAAGATCCAGGTCAGAGTGGCCCCTGGGCCACATTGTCAGGAGTTATGTGGTTGCGAATGTAAACAGCAGTAGGAAATCTGTCCCCGAGTGTGGAAGGGAAAAGGATCTTCAGTGATCGCCTTGCTCAGTCACTCCTACCGTGTGGGCCTGCACTGGAGTTTAAAGTCGAGGCTGAAGACTGATCTCTGGAGTAGACACACTAATGCTTGTTTAGCCTTTGTTCTGGGGAAGTGCCTCCCGTATCCCTCAGGGGGTGCTGCGTGTGTAAGGTCTCAGGGCAGCCGGTGTTCCTGTGACTGCCACGGGGGACCTTCCCCTTTTCCCTGGGCTTGGAAAACCTCAGAAGTACTTTCCCCTGGTGACCAGTCAGTCCTGTTCTCGCTCCAGATAAGTGGCCCTGCAGCGGCCGGACCCACCAGTCCAGGCGGGGAGACGGGCTGCCTGGCTTGCCAGACTGCTTATTTTTAACCTGGAGACAGAATCTGTCCATTGTAGGGGGAAATAGTAGTGGCCCAGATTAATCTGTAAAAGCTGTTGATGATTCCATTAAAAGGCCTCCAATATATAAAGAGTAATCTTTGGAAAATAGTTTGGCATTATCTTAGAAAGTTCATCCATCTAAACCCCATGACCTAACCTTTGTGTTCCTACGTATATTCTTAACATGAGGGAATCTTAGAAAATCATGTTAAATAAAAGAGAATGAGAAATACAGCATTGAAGCTGCTGCTCCTCTTGGGGTAGGGAGGGTGTGAGGTCGGGAGATGGGATGCAGGAATGAGCCCAGGACGGAGGCCTCCACATCAGCCATGCTGCAGTTCTTAAGTTAGGCGTGGGTTCCTGCTGTTTGTTGTATTATGATGATTTAGATGTTTGTCATTCATATTGTTTACATTATGCTAAAAAAAATACCCCAAACTGAGAACAGATTCTGTTCTGGAGAAAGCACCTTACAAATTATTCTTGTCACTAGTTCACTGTCCTTGTTATGGGATGGTGAATCGGAAGGACATGAAAAACCACAGTGAGATTGTACCTTACACTCATTAGGGTGGCTATTATCAAAAACTGACAAGTGCTGGCAAGGGTGTGCAGAAATTGGAACCCTTGTGCATGGCTGTTGGGAATGTAAAATGGTGCAGCTGCTGTGGAAAACAGCATGGCAGGTGTTCAAAAATCAGTCCTAGAATTACCATAGAGTCCAGTAATTCCTCTTCTGGGTAGAGACCTCAAAGACTCGAAAGCAGAAACTCAAACAGAAACTTGTACACACATGTCCGTAGCTGCATTATTCACAATAGCCAGAGGAGAAGCAACCCAAATGTCCTGTGACAGATGGATGGATGAACATTATGTGGTCTGTACATAGAAGAGCATATTCAGCCATAAAAGGAATGAAATTCTGACACACGCTCCAACCTGGATGAACCTGGAGCATGTTATGCTAGGTGAGATAACCCAGACACTGAAGGACAAATGTTGTATGAGTCCACTGATATGAAATACTTACAAGAGGCACACTCTAGAGACAGAAAGTAGAATAAAGGTTACTAGGAGCTCAGGGAAGGGGGAATGGGGAGTTAGGGTTTAATGGGTACAGAGTTTCAGTTTGGGAAGATGAAAAAGTTCTAAAAATGTATATACAGTTACTTAATGCCACTGACCTGTGCATTCAGAAATGGTTAAAATGGTTGATGTTACGTTATGTGTATTGTACCACAATTTAAAAAAATGAAAGCAGGGAGCATTGATGTAGCTCATCATGTACTCATTGGGTCCGTACGGATGTGGGACTCGCCCAGGGCCACACAGCTGGGAGGTGGCCGGACAGGGTCTGTGGCAGAGGTGGTCCCCAGTGCGTGCTGAGGGGATGCTGTTCTGTCTGCCACGTGTCTGGGAGTGTTCAGTTTGCAGCCCCTTGGTGCGGGGCCTGGAGCTACCGATCTGCCCTGTCCCCGCAGGAGATGGTGGCCAGGTGGCATCTGGACATCAGGGAATGAGGAGGAATTGTCCTCACTCCTTTCCCACGGTCACCACCTCCCGGAATGCTTGAGGCAGGGAGCTCCTTGGGCAGGACCCCTGGGCACCTTTCCCATGGAACCCAGCCCCCTTCCCTGATGGGCACTGAGCTCTGGTGGCATTGCCAGTGCAGGATTAAGTGACAGCCTTTAAAAATCCTGCCATGAGGACCGAGGTCAGGGTGAAGGTCAGTGACAGGACCAAGAAAGACACCTGGAGGGCGCAGCTCCCCTTCTCTTGTTTGTGCATCCTTTTGGCAAATGCTCACGGTCAGGCCCTGTGCCGGGGAACGCCGGCATCTTATGTTAGAGCCTGGGCGAGCCGGGAGAGTCCCTGTGCGTGTCTGTCTCACCCCCCTCCAACACACAGGGAGTGTGCAGGGTGCACATATGGGGGCTCTGACCTGGTCTTGGGTGTTGGGCGTGGGCTTGCGGGGGAGGGGCTACCTAGGCTGGTAGCTGAAGGCTGAGGAGGTGTGGTCCAGGCAGAAGCGGGGCAGGAGAGCAGAGGAGCAGCACGCACAGGTCCGACTGCGGGCTGCTACACCGAGTGGGCTTCCAGCGCCATTGCTGAGTTGAAGAGGGCGCTGAACAGTAATAGAACAGAGTGCACTGCACATAGTGAGAGAAGTATTGTCTTGGGTCGTGTGTGTGTCAGGCATGTGTCTGTGTCCTCAGTATCAGTCCTGTGGTCGTCGTGGCTCTGAGGGCTTGTGACCATGGCTGCCGCGTGCAGCCAGCCCCTGGGCTGGTCAGCTGGGCCAGCCCACCTCTCCCCTTTGTCCTAGGCATGTGGCCACCGCGTCTGCTCCTGGCTATGGCCATGGCCACAGCTGGGGGCCATTAAGTGCTCCCCAGTCCTGGTGACAAGTGCTGGGACCCTGTGCCCTTTGCCATCCAGCCCACAGTCATCCTCTATGTACCCGTCTTGGCTGCTTATGGAACGTGCAGTGTGCCAGGTGCTGTGCCCTGGTGTGGAAGCCCTCGCCTTGCCCTCAGGAGCCCCCCATCCAGGGTGGCAGTCAGACAAGAGCCCAGA